AATAATAATAGTTCAAAAGCAAAGGCCTTATATTAATAAGTCTGAGGGTACATTGATTTCTAATGAATATAACAGTAATTGAAAGATTTGTATTGTAAAATTCTGGAACGAAATCTATAATTCTATACATTAAATGTGATTATTCAATTACCATAACTTAAAAACTCACCGAAATGCAAATTTTTAAAATTTTTATTGACTTTGAGTATAATTTGTAATTTTTTAGGATTCTTATGGTATTTATGATTCTTAATGTATGGTCTCGCTTGCAACTAAGCTTTGCGCTATTAAATATTTTGCAGAACACTCGATCGCTCAGCGAATCTCTCGGTATGCATTGCTTTCTGTTCTTTTTTCTTTTTCTTTTTTTTTTTTTTTTCTCCTCTTATGTAAAATCTTATATCACATCAGTCTGGGTTTCGTGCAACACAATTCATATGTAACTTCAATATAATGAAGAAATGTGCAAGACCAATATGAATATTATAAAGTTGTCAAAACCCGGAATTTAAATTAAGCATATATAAACCTGCCTATCTATAAACTTTCGAAATTTTATACGATGTAGCACTGTTCTTCATGTACGACCAAATATTCAAAGATTCTTCATTCAAATAATGGTAGAATTCCAAAAAAAGAAGGAAGTTTGGACGTGCACGAAAGCTATGATACACGTGAATAGTCCTGTGCAGCTTTCCAAGACATCCAGTGTTCAGGAGCTGGTAATTTTAGATGATGGTCCTGTGTAAAGGGATATTCAGATATATAGTAATCGGGTTGATAAGCCCGCCAAGTTACAGGTGTCCTTGTCACTATACCCATATCGGCTTATAGGACAGAAAGGGGGCTCTGACCTGACAGAAATTGAGTCAGAGTGGCATTATCAGATTTTAGTTCTATCCTAACTTTTGGCATCAGCTGATGGGTATGCCTGTTTGTTGCAACTGAATCCCAGTGTTCCTGCCAATGTGCAAGAATATACTTGCTTGTCATCTGTTTCAGGAACGCGACTGAAAGTGAAACGGAGCGCCATAGAAGGGGTGGATCATTGGCCACATTCTTCGCAATGCTATCTGCCTGCGTGAAATATACAGGATCGAAGGTAAAGAAGAAAAAATGTGTGATATATGCTTAAACCGCTGAACTAAAAGCTTTTAAAGATGCTTTTAGTTCAGCGGTCCTCAACCTTTTAAATAATGTGTACCATCTAAACAAAAATTGAAAAAAACTTTATTATTACCACTACATTTTACAATTTCTCAATAGAAATATTACAAAAAATATATTTTGCCATTTGCACAACCTATTGGCTATTTGTGTTAAATATTCACACGTAAAAATATGTTAGATTAAAAATTGGTTACTATTTTAATTATCAAAATTTAACTTATAATACTTTAATTCTAAAGCTCACTAGCGGCCGAGCGCTAAAGTCGCTGAACACTGGTAGTCCGGTTCGAGGTTCGGATCCCGCGAACGGGCTGCTGCATGGGCGTTTTCGTGGTTTTCCCCATGGGTAATGTGTGTACGTGTCAGCTTTCCTTGGGAAGTCCTCCACGGAGGCATCCCTCCCCTTAGGCAGATAGCTCTGGAGGCTTTGCCATAATCACACACACACTTTAATTCTAAAATTTAGTGGGAAATTTGGCTAGTTCAAAACAGATCAATTTCTTAATGTTTGGTCTTATTTCACTTAGTTTTAACCGTAAATTAGAATCCACTTTAAATTTGGTTTTGTATTTATTTTTCAAATGCAGCATGGAAGAAACTCCTTGTTCACAAAAATAGGTTTTTCAAAAAGACAATAAAATTTGAATAGCTTTATTTGAAATACCGTTAAAGTCTTTTTTTGGGTTCAGCCAAAAGTTAACAAGCGTGTTATTTTTGAAATCTTCAGCTAGAGTTTGATCACACCAGATTTCTATCAATTGTTCATCTTTAAGAGACAAAGTTTCAGGTACATTTGAAAAAAAAAATGGATTTCTAATCCAATTCTCTTTTTCATCATCCTCGTGAAAATACATGTTGAAAGTATCCATCAATAGAAAACAATGATTTTTAATGTCGAATGCTAATTCTTCTTTTATTTTCAAATTATTTTCGGTTAGGAAAGTCACTAAATGTGGAAAAATGTAAATGTCTTTGATTAGCTCGAGTTTTTTGCCATTGCATTAATTTTATCTAAAATGGTAAACAAATTAACGCTTTGTCATTGTAATCCTAAATTTAATTCATTTAACTTTCCAAAAATATCAATTAAATATACTAAACGCGCCAATCATTTCACTACATAATTATTTTACCAATTCAAATCTTGAATCACAGAGGAAAATTTGTATTTCTGATCGAAGTTCAAAAAGATGATTTAAAACTTTGCCTCTGGATGAGCAACTTATTTCGGAATGTAACAAAAGCGTTTCATGTTCACTGCCCATCTCTTGGCATAAAAATCGTAAATATTCTTGAATTTTAAGTTCGGCTTTTAATGAAATTAACATTTTCACAGCTTGATTCAAAACTACTTTCGGGTTTCCGGGTATTGTTTTAGCTAACTAAAGCTTCCCTATGAATGAAGCAGTAAGAAAATTTTAGTTTCAGGTGCGACTTTCTTTATTTGAGAAATAACACCAGAATGTTTTCTCGTTAAAGCTTAAAGCTCAAGCTCTGGCACTGCATACAGCAATGCACTTATTCCAAGGAATACCATTCTCAGACATAAATTGTCAATTACTTTGAAATTTTCATTTGCAATTGCTCTTTCATTGAAGAGATTCACAAAATAAATACTCTTCGGCAATCTGTTTATCTTCTTCGAAATGTGTGTAAATTAATAATTGAACAAAGTTCTTTACATCAGTATTCTCGTACAATTGCAATGCAAAATTCTGTGTTTATTTTTTGAATCAGTGTCTCTTTTACGGACTTTGCCATTTTATGAATTCGTCGACTTACTGTATTTGATAACGGAATATTATCAAGTCCATTAGCCGCTTTTTCGTTGAATGATGTCAAAATTATATCTGTACCTACTGGTAATATAAGGTTTTCTTCAATAATGTTAGCCTGCTCCATCTTACCAATTTTTACGCTTACTAAGTAACTACCTTCAAAGCTTTTCCACTTGAAGTAACAAGAACCTTTCATTATTTGTTTACTATTTTTGAACACCGGTTATTTCCTCTTAAAATATTCTACGGATCTATACTTTAAATTGGCATGCTTAGATTCAAGATGTCTTTTAAGAAGCGATGGTTTCATACTTTGATTGGACAAAAGTTCACCGCAAACAGCACATTGAAGTTGAGGGTCTATTTCACCTCCATTCCAAGTAAACCAATTATAAATAACTTTCATTATATTTTTATGGAAACATTTTTCCTTTTCTTTTCAATATTCTTAGTTCTAGAAGATTTTCCTGGATTCATCACATGCGAATCATCAATTTTCCGCTTAGTCAATCCTATCCATATTTCCATTTTGAAAATCTAGGTTTGTTTTATTATTTTTTCACAAATACTTAAATGCACAATATATTAAGATTTCTTACAAACAATGATATTCTCAAATCGCGTAAAAAGCAAAGAATGCAGAGCAACATGAAGACAAATAGACATAAAAAAATTACTCTAATTGAAAATAGAGAAATATGAACCCGGAAATGGTGGCAAATAAAGTGTAGATATGCTAGGTAAGTCGACTTGCTCTCAAAGAACGAATGAGATGTACTGTTATCGTTTTGTAGTAACTTATTTCCTATTAAATACAACATACATTTCTATTACTCCTTTTAAAAACATCATTTACGATAAATTTTGTTATGTCTATAGTTAAAAGAATATTTGTGAAAATAAAAACGGATTATTTTGCTGAAGTCTATTGACCTTGAACAAAGCTCAGATCGCAAAAGTTTACGAATGTTGGAGAAAATCTTAAACAGGATTTTGTGGTATTTAATAGTTAAATACTTTGTTTCTTTGCGTACCACCGGTTGAGAATACCTGCTTTAGTTTATTCAGTCATTTTCTATTAGTAGCTCATTTACTAACACACAGTTAATATTTAAGTAGTTTCTGGAAAGAAAAGGTAATTCTCTCTAGTTATGAATGCCATTTACCTACAGATGGTTACACGGTGTGTCAAATAGAAAACAGCTTAAAATTAATCAATTAATTAATAATCACTAGTTAATTCGAATCTTTAGATAAAACGGAGAATATAACAAGAGCAGAATGACTACAGGTCATTGAAGCAAGAGGCTACCGGAAATTATACTTTTTGGCGGCAAGATCTGTCTATTGACAGTAAGCTGATGAGGTGATCTTATTCTTGCAGGTTTGTACCCTAGATTATTAGCAACATCATGTTTATCCAAATTGTCTCAAAAGAACTTGGTCTACAGAAACTGGAAACTGTTCCGTTTCCGGTTTTCGAAGTGGTAGTGATAAATGAGAAAATGATTATTCCCTTGTGTTTATTCTACATAAGATTTTAATGTCTCCATCTTTTTCAGCTTTTACCAAATGTAAATGATATTGTCTGTCAAATTTATTGTTAGATTCTAAATTTTGTTTCTTCAAGAACTAGTTGATTTTATGTATTTCACAGTTTACAGAAGTGTCCTTCATAGGAAAAACGAAAATGTAATCTAAATTTATTGTTCTCATGTCTGTTGTGTCTGCAAAAATACTCTTTAATAGGATCATGCTGTTCTTCTTACACCATTTTTCATACAAATCGCACATTTCTTTACTGCTCATCAAGAATTAGAAAAATTTTGTAGGAACTATCCTTATGAGTGCATAAAAAATCCGTTGTTTAGAAAAAGTGATACAAAGTCTGGTGTATTCCTCTTTGGGAACTAATCCGACGATTATTGGGCAGAAAACGTGAAGAAGTGAGTGAATGAAATTAATTAATTCAATATGAAACTGATCTTACTCTATTATGCTTTAACGAGATGGAAAATATGATTAACTTAAATATTAACTTCTCATTTACAGTGCTTTGATTCTCAGCCGACCATACTGCATTTTGATCGAGATCTTATGGAGCTCTTTTGCCCGAAATTGAGGAAACAGAGGTTAGTTTAAAATATAAAGATTTTAAAAACATCTTGTTGAAAAATGGAGAAATTTCTTATCCAATTTGACAAAACATATGTCCATTATATTGTCAATACCTATTACTAGAAGGGTATAACAAGTTGTTACAGATAAAACTAAGTCTTCTTAACAAAATATTTTAGATTCTGTTTCTGTTCGTTTTGCAAAATTTTGGATTATGAAACTGTGCCTAAATACTTGTTGTAATAAATTCCTTCAGTAGTGTAAACTGTCGTGAATTACTTTATCATTCTTTTTCTTTTGTTACTCGGATTAGTTCAAAATTCATTTAAACTGTAGTCATTCACAATAAATGTTTTTTTACCGATGTAAGACGTTATAATACTTTTCCATTATTGTGAATGATTCAGAACGTTAAGCTAATTAAAAAATTATTACTCGTTGTTGTTTTTACTTCGTATGAGTTTTAAAAGGCATCTGTCTTCTGTCTCTCGACTAAAATTAATTAGAATTCTTACCTATACTTGAACACTCTTTGCTTATTTTATAAGCTTAGCAATTTTTACTTCTCTTGTTTTTAGTAAGCTAAAAACACGGCTTACTAAATTTGGGTTAAGATAAGGCGCAGGGACCCATAAATACCGTATAGGAGCTGCTATGGTTTGCATCAAATAGGCTCATAACCGATTAAAACTAATATTATTATTCTTCTGCTTGCTTTCCTTCAAAGAAATATGTAGTGTACCATAGTCGTATCTCCTCCAAATAAACAAAACCTGTTCTAGGCTAAATATTTTTCTTTATATACAACTATGTACAGATTACAATTTAGAAATACTTTAAAATACATTTTCATTACAGTAGAGCGCGCAAACTAGCGTCCGCTCCTTTCTCTTTCCCATCTCAATCTCCTTCTTATTCCCACCTGCGACCAGGGGGGGGGGAAGTCCACTCCCCTTTTCCAGCCGCATGGAGGTAGGAAGTCCTTTCCTACCTCCATGTCCGGCCGAGGCGAGAAGAGGGTTCTCTGTCCCTGCTTTTTAGTGTTCTTTAGAGAAGGGGAACGTTACAGTAGCAGTTTGATATCCAGTAGTGTAGGTATAGCTTTTAAAACACTTAGGTTTTTGATATTGAGGTCTTGAACATTCTAGGCATTTTTAGGAAAAGGCATACAATTTTCTGATCAAAGTTAAAACTCTTTGGAAGACCCAAATCTTACCTGCTATAATTCTAATATTAAAACTATAAGACTTAAATTCGATGCATATATGAAATATTTCAAAAATTTCGTTGTGGCAGTACCATTAAAATCTCGTAGAATAAAATAATTACGGAGATAATACCATAACTGTTTTGCATCTTTATAATATTGTAAATTTAAGATCCTGTCATATTTTTGTTATCGTTTGGATAACCATTTGGTAGAACAGTACTCCAGCTGTTAAATTGTCTTAGCTTTTACTATAAGTTTTAGAACACTAATAGGAAAATATTTATGAATTTCAGTAATATGTTACAAAAATTAGTTTCGCAACCGTTGTTCACAAAATTATATTTCAGTTTGCAAAAAATACTTTAAGGAAAAAAAAAATAATAAATAAAATATTGAAACACACCAGTTTACTTGCTGCTTCGGCAATCGTAGTCCTGGGGCGCTTGCCATCTAGGAAATTTTGCAGCAAATTTAATTCCGTTAGCGGAGCCACGTAGCCGATATGCTAATTGCCTTAGTGCAGGGATGGGCAAACTACGGCCCGCGGGCCAACTCCGGCCCTCCGGAAGCTTCTATCCGGCCCGCGGATAGAATTTTAATTTGCCGACCTGAGGCAAATTAAGAGAAGTTTATATATTATATATCCATCTCCTTTTCCACTTTGTTTAAATACTTTTATTTTCCTTCCCTTTTTTTCAAAGGAATTGATGATCTTTTTACTTTCTCTGTTTTTGTGCTAGCAAAACATAAATCGACGAAAATTGCAAGCACAGACTGCTTTCAATCGGTAACAGTGTTAAAAGCGAAAGTTCTTTGTTAGTTATAGGTGTAGATTGGCGCCAACAAGTGTTATCTCTTTCTCGAGCAGACATATGGGAATCCAATATATGTGAATTAGACCTCTTAGAAAAAACCTTAATTATCTTAACTCAAAACTTACTTAATAAAACTTAATATGTTTGCTGGGCATCTAGCTAACGAACTTGTCTCATTTCCTCCGAGGTTAAATTCAATACCCCCAGTAAGTAAATGAATAGAAGCTTAGGAATTATGAAGATGGCTTTGAAGATGAAGAAAAACTGCATTTTGAGTTCGAACGCAGAATTTCAGTGCCATTCAAACAGAACTAGGATATTTTTATTACAGCTTTCAACGTAAATTGTGAAGCAGTGAGATCATATTTGCAGCTTGACTTAATTTATTTGCAATCTAACAATCATCTCAAGCAGTTGTTTCTAAATATGCCAAATTTTGAGTTTTACAAATCATTATCGAAAGTAAGTTTCCCAAATTTATATCTCACGCCCAGAAAATCAGTGCTATGTTTGCTTTACCTTATATATGTAAGCAAGTGTTTTCAACTATAAAACTTAGAAAGAATTATTTCAGAAGTAGGCTGACAAATGAGCATTTAGCCACGTTCCTTAGAATCAGTACATCTCACTTCGAACCTCAATATAAGGAACTTTTAAAAATGAAATCGCAATTTCATTCATCTCATTAACATATTTAACTTGTAATACTTGTATATTGTTTTTAAAATTTTATAAAAACTTATCTTGGCCCACCAAACCTTTCTCTTTCGATTTTTGGCCCGCGACGGAAAACGTTTGCCCATCCCTGCCTTAGTGGATCGGCTGCGCGCCGTTGGTGAAAAGAAAAAAGAAAGAAATTATGGCAATTTAAATTTAAAATCTCAGTTTTTTTTTAATTTATAAAATTTAACATTTTATATGGCTGTTTAAGTCCTTATATTTACATATTTAATAAAAGTTCGTACTCATTCTAAAGACAAAAAATTTGAGTCCCATATGATAAAGCTCAACAGAGACACTTCAAGTTTAAGATCATGGTTAGGGGCCGTACGCAAATTGAAGAGAGAAATATTTGAATTTGTACGTAACTAAAAATTAAATAACAGTGTAGAAAAGTTTTTTATTAATATATTAAATGACGCGAATTGCTGTGTAGACTGTTGTGAAACAGTTTGATCGATAGAAATTTTCCCAGAAGGAAGATATTATATAATCTTGTGGAAATCGTGATGTAGAAAACCGTGACAGGATTGGCATACGCCACTTGATAACATTATTTTCGTGAGTTAAAGAAAAAAAATATAGTACCTATTCCAGTGTTGTTACCACTATTAGATTATGATCCTAAAGTAATAAAGCAGCAGGTGAATATTAATTAGCGCATTTTTAGCTTTTAAAAACATAAAAACTACTTGTGGTGCAAAAATTCTTTTATCGCACTAAATGTAATAAAACTGAAAAATTAAAGATCACAAAGAATTATCAATGAATGACATTCAATGGGAGAAAATCAACCTCGAATTATTCTAATTTGGTTTTTAACCGAACTCTTCAAGGATAGCCGAAAATGAAAGCAAAAATCCCAAATTTTGAAATTAAATACCTCTGCCAATTTTTGTCATACAGGAGTGCGCCATTCTATTTTAGAATAAGTTTAATTTCTTACTAAACGTTACCAAATCGACCGGGGAAACATATAAAACGTCAGATTTCATAATTTTAGAAATTTAAGAAATGACAAAAAATTGAATATTTACATCATTTAAAACATTTTTCTAACTGGAAGTTTAGTCCGCAATCGATGATTGCGAAACTAAAGACCGGATAAGGACTTTTGTGGCTCGATAATATAGTATATAAGTTAAATGTCGAAAGTTAAATGTTTCTGTGAAATGATATTGAGCGCTATGATATAAAGCTTATTGATTCATGTAATTAATTTTGATTTCTGTAATGGGGCCACATAAAGAATTTTATGGATACTGTGTATATAAATCTTAAAGGCTGGAATGTTGGTCGTTTGTTGCTCAATATTCCAGCCTTAAAACTGAATTGTTTTAGTAGTCTTTTAACACATGTTAGGACACACAATAATAGTTGAAGTTAAATAGAAAGTAGTTTAATTTTCTCAAAAATGTCATTTTTCTAAGAGTACGTAATAACTAATAATTGCTTACGATGATGTAAGTCATAAACTTTGATCTAAGGATTTCCCAGAAAGGCTTCGACCAGATTACTTGGATTTTCATGTTAGATACAAAACCCTCTTTGGCAATCACTTGAAATGACAAACGAATGAAACGCGATAAAGACAAGGTCTTATAGCAGAGATAACGATTTCGCTTTCGTATTTTCAGAAGCGGTACACGTTCTGCAATACTATTTACTGGAGCAAAGTTATACTTACCGACAAAATAGCTTTCGTACTTTTTTTTTTTTTTTTTAAATTTCGTACGAAGTAAAAAAAAAGTTGAATATAGCAAGAACTGGTGAATAAGAATGAAGCGAGACTGGAATTTGACTTAAAGTAGAAAAACATTTCAGTGGGGTTTCAATCTGAAATCGCATATTTCTGTGATAGACAGCTAAATTTGAAAATTTGGCATCGTATGAAAAATTAGTTGCAAGATTAAAAATAACTGTCAATAATAAAAGGAAACAAGTATGAAATGCCTTTAAGAAGTGCATTTTTTCCTGTAATAGTGTCATCTGTGTAAAAACTTGAACAGCTCTTTAATAATACTTTGTAAAACATGCTAGATATTTCTTAAAATTTATCAAACATGTTCGTTAAAATACTACCAGTTAAAGTGAAAATTGGCATGAAGCTTAAAAACCTATTGTTTATTTAGTTTAACTTCTGAAACTACATTTTAAGGGCTCCATAAGTAGCCTTATTACTCAAATAGGGGAACAGCAATTGCATCCTAGGGTCTATTCCCTGTGCGTTAGGGCAAAGCTGCATTTCTGTGTAATGAAAGTGATTATA